GAGAACTTAAACACAAGAAACGTACACCAATGTTTAATAGCAGAGGTTGAAATTTTAACAAAATCAATAAATGGCATAAATGACATAATTACTACACATACATTACTGAACCAAGAACCTAATTTGAGAACGCGTAAGAGTACTTTCTGATGATGAAACGCGAGATTAAAAAAGATGAGGTGTTATTTACAACAGAACACAGTTTTCCTTCATATTAGTTCACCATGTGATTTGTAATTCTTAACTATACAGCGTCTTCAATGAGATCTTATTTCACAATACTTCAAATTAAAGAGAGGACACAATAAGGGTTATGTCTGAGCCAGTACATCGAAGAAAATAGTGACCGTACACAGAGTAAAACGCTTCATGATAGTGACCAAATAAATCCAATGAGTGTTAACGGCTCTAATGGTGATACTATGTATTCGTAACTGCAATAAAACACATCCGAATTAGTGGGAAAATTACCAAATTTATTTAGTGAGTCCCTGAGCGATATTAGGGCCAGCAGAGATATAAATGTCTTCGTACGGTGCATGCTGCTCAACGTTGATCGCTTGCGACTTCTTTAAGCACCAACAATGTGTAGAATTTCTGCGCAGCAGTCTTTCGAGTAGAACCTTTTGTCAAGAGATCGTTGAGAGTGATCTGAATCATGCAAAAATTTTCATATCGCAGCAATCACTCGAACAGTAGCCCAAAGGTCACGATTATGGTATCACATTGATCTAATATACACAATTAATTAATGGACCACCTACTGAACGTATAAATCGGAACCGAATATAACTACAGCCCGGCTGGGTAGAACAAATATCTTTACCTGAGACAAGACAGCTACTGTGAGCAATCCATATGTTGCTTATAGTAATGGGTCTTTTATTTAGGGTGCCGAGATTTTCTATTTCTCATCGAAAACAAAGAATTACAAGTCATCCCTAAAAATCATGGTACCACGAAGAGCAGAGCGAAAGAAAATGAAGACTGTTGTTTATGACTAGTCTTTAACACGTTGACGACAGCGGGCGCCGGCTTTTCGGCCATGAGAGATGAAGCTATTCTGCGTGCACGGCCGACCTCACCTCACATCCGCTAATTTCGAGTGATAGCTAGGCAGAACATAAATGGTACATCTTCACCATTTCAACAATATTCATTGCGTTTAAATTAATCGGGGGTATAGCAGCACTTCCGATCAAAATAACTTGTAATGGTTATGAAAAGCAAATTTTACTTGTTATGCCTGTAATGAATCTTAAAGTATTTTGACGCAGTTGTGCTAAGAAGAGGAGCTGCCCTATAGGTTTGCAGCTGTAGGTTGTTACTGAATTCTACTATTCTTTTTTGATTACACAGTCGTGAGAATAAGAAGAAACGAGGGATGAACAGAGCTGCCAATTTTTAGTGATTAGAGAGCCTCTGCTGCGAGCCTTGTTGTTTACAGTTATGTTGCGGTATGATTCATAGAATGTATACAAAGAATTTGGAAAGAAGTCACGCAAGAGCGAGCAAAAGGGATGAATTGAATGGGACGCGCAATCGCGTTACGCTGTTGTCATGGTGTGTAAATAAAATTTTAAAATATAATATGATAGATATTATACATTTGAGAGCGAGAATATAATATAAAAGCTCATCAGAAGTCAGCCAGTTAAGTTCCACAGTAGACTTCACATGCAAACGTCTTTGTAAAGTTACAAATAATGCAAAAAAGCAATGATGACGAAAAAGAAACGTGGAAAACTGAAACATAACATCACCCCTAACAGAAATCGACAGTAGTTCACCTGTGCATCACCAGTCGTACGGATTTTTGTCACAATTGCATTCAAGACGTTTTGAGTGCGCTTCGACCAACGATAACCGTCTTCACCTCCATGGCTTCCTCCTCTTCTATTGTTCGACCCTTAAACTGATGCTTCAGAATGTTGAGCTGTGTTATGTTGGGTTTCTCTCACTCTCACACCTACGGGAAAATAAATAAATCGCATATAAGTTCCTAGACCCAGGTTCTGGGCTCCTAATCAGAGATGGAACGGAATTTTCAAACAACTCACGCATATGTGCTCCCTTTTTGAAATTCTAATCCCATGATTTTTACGGACCTCAACAAATATGACACCCAATTCGAGAAAAAAAGGAACATGCCGCTTTTACAGTACATACTGTTGATGAGTGATGGAGAAAGTTGTGGTATTTAGTATCAAGTGAAAAGTATTCCAATGAATATACTACTGAAAAATATGAACGAATGTGCTACACATTTTCGTTAGCCGTTGTCAGAAGATCATAGGTAGTAAATGGTCAACTACAATATTTACGAAGAACTGTACCTCCATGCTACGCTTTCGTTTCTCACTCGGTGGATAGAAAGCTTCCTCAGCTTCTTTCGCTGGAGATCCCTCTGGGGAAGGACGCAAATCCGCAACCACAGGCGTAGGCGATTCGGCACCGATAGGTTCAAAAGGCACCGGACCAATGTCCTCATAATCCTCTCCGTACGTCGATTCCTGCAATTTCAGACTATTACTAAGCAGTGTACCAAGAATCTAACAACATGAAAGATGTAGCGTTACTTCCATACATCCCTCAAATTCCATTTATGCTAAACAAACTGCACGAGATTTGCAGAGTGTAGACAAGTGACTTTGGTAGCTCCTTACAATTAGCTGCCAATAGCACATCTCAATCGTGAATAACAAACAAATGAAATGAAAACAACGCACCGCTCCGTACTGAAGCTCATCTTCAATTGTTTCCGACATTTCCAATTCACGCCGAATTTCATCAGCCCTAACGACATCTTCCTCAACGCGTGCTCGCATCACCAAATGCGACTGATACAACTGAAAACTACAACTTTGAAACGGCCACCAATGAACGGTGCAACTAATATTTACAAATTATTTGTGTTTTTGCAAGGACTTAAATGTAATTTATCAAGATCCATCGATTTCTAACAATAAATACTCTATCGTGTAAACTCTTTACGAAGGGAAGATGGCAGGCGATGTGGCCATTTGAAATAATATGCATACCACCTGAGAGATATTTGAACGCAGACCCCAAATCTGCTTTCCATACCTGCTGAGTAGTTTTCTGAGTAGCGCTACAGAGCTGCGATACGAAGCAGACTCAAGCTGAACACAAAGATGATAAGCATGAGCAGCTTCGATGTCTATAGGTGGCCCGGTGGATAGCACGCCGATGTAGTGTCGGTGAAGTTAAGGGTTTGAATCCTTGATGAGCTAAGATTTTTGCTTTTTTCAGAAGTCTGCGCAATGCACTTGCGAACCACTTTTGCATGTTTAGCAAACATTATATTGTCGGAAACGTTGATCGCAAAGAAATTGGACCGTTGGAAAATTCACTTGTGGATTCTGCTCCTGCGCCTGCTAAATTGCTCATGTCCCATGCGACGAAAAACGCCAAACCTGCGCTGCCATAAACGTGTTGAAAACGGACTTTCCGACCGGAATACAGACCATTTAAGCGAAGGTGGTCACTGGTGCCAGGATGAAGAAACACCATGAGCAATGACCCAGTGATTTCACTGATGCGACTCTCATCAGTGCTGCCCTCCTCGCTAACATTCTCTCTGCCAAACGATTAGAGAACTGTGGCGAGTTGTTAGGAATTCAGTAAGCATTAAAACTATACGGGGGAAAATATTATGCTATGCATCAGTGAATAAATATTTCCCCACATGATCAAGTGTATTCTCATGACCAAGCGCGTTTAGTGAATCTTTCAAACCTTACCCTGACAAGTGGCTTAGCTTTCGTGAAAGTGCATCCTGGGAGATGGAAAAGCTTCTCGACAGTTCCAGACTCCTTTAAGCGCATAAGCCGTCGAGTTGGAGGTGCCAGATCCAAAGGTTGTAGTGTATCTCTAGAAAATTCAACTGACCATAAATGGTAAGGAACTAAAAGGCACAATTAGAAAGCAATCCACAGCGATGAAAAAAATGAAAAAGTAAGGTCAAGACATCTGTGCCGCCGCAGACAAACATCAAAATATGACATATGGTCCAAAACTGGGTGTTTATAAATTTAATCGTGAGGGATCTAGTAATCTTTTACTTTAATCACTATCTCTATCTTTAATCTTTTTTTTCCTTTCATGGTCTTTTACTTACCCTGATGGTTTCCTCCTTTTTCACCGATGGCGCACCTAGAGTGCATGATAAAAAAATAATAAGGGTAACACTGCTTTACATAAACAGATCAGAACGCTGTAATATTGTTCGACCCTGATACAGTGACAGCAGCCCATTGTGCGATGAATCACGGCATCTTTGTGAGTATTAAGTTGGCCAATTTAAAATGTCGTTTTCAATCATCAATCAATTTCATTATGGAAACAATAGCAATCCACATCAACCTGAAACATCCGTTCCATCTCAGCTACTCGGTTTGTCCTTTTGTCACGAAGCATTGACGCTTAGAGGAAACGAGATTGTGATTTAGCTGAGAATCAAAGACACAAAAGGAAGCCACATTTCAAACTATCCCAACTAAGCTTCTGATTCTTTAGATTTGTCCTACCCGGTGACGATGCCCGCTTTCCTGGTCTGTTACGCCAGTCTTCCGATTGCATGCCTGATTGGGATGGAGGCCAACTAATTTCAAGTCCTAATGCAACGTACCGAGCCATCGTTGCTTCGGGCGTCCTCTCGGCAGCTTTCCTGGCACGTGAAAGTCTCAACCGATCTTACGGACACTGTCGTCATTAGTGCGGAGGACGTGACCGTACCACTTTAAGTAAGCTTCGCGCATCTTGTCAGCGATGGGAACACCGAACCGCTCTCTGATGGTCTCGTTGCGACTGTGGTCCGCGCGTGACCCCGGCAGTCTAGCGCAACATTTTTGTCTCCATTACACTGAGATGAGCCCCAAATTCTTGAGTCACGCCAGCACTCTGCGCCGTAAATGGCGATTGGTCGGACGACAGCCCTGTAGATATTGGATTTCAGTCGCTCTGGTATCTACTTATTGCAGAGAATGCCAGTCATCGAGCGCCATTTGGACCGAGCTACATTCACCCGGGAGTTTACTTCAGAGATCAGGCTGCCGTCGGACGCGATTGCCGATCCAAGATACTTGAAGGTCGTCGAGCGTATAAGCTCAGCTCCGTTAGTCTTGATCGAACCAAACTCATTTGAGCCGGTTGTGAAGTACTCGATTTTTTGACGTTCAACCTGAGCTTAAACATCACCAGGCGATCGGGCCAAGTCTGCACTTGCTGCTCGAATAGGTGTTTGTCTTCGCAGGCGAGCATCACGTTATCAGCGTGAAAAGCGTCCGTAGAGCGGGCTTCTCAAGATCTCGCGAAATGGCATCCATGGCGACAATGAATAGGAGTGGAAAAGCGCAGATCTCTGGTGCACACCGACAGCGGATTCCATCGAAGTATCTAATACCGTTTGCACCCGGCTCTTTGGATTGGAGTAGAGTATGCCCACCCACTCAATAAGCTCTTTAGGAACGTTGTGCTGTCGTAAAACATACCATATAACTTCTCGAGAAACGCAATCGGGAGCCTTCTCCATGTCCAGGAAGGCAAGATACACGGAGTTACTTTTTTCGCGATGTCCTTTCAGAAGGTGATGAGCGGCACGTATTGCACCATGTGCCGCAGCCTGACACAAATTCACACTGGTTGATGGAAAGCATTTTCCTTCCTGCTACGATCTGGTTGAAGAACCTGTTCAACCATTCAGCAGGACACCTGTACTTTGACTTCCATATGTCGGTCCCCAAATCATCGGGGACTGTGGCTTTTCTTGACTTCACCTTCCTTAGAGCCCTTTCCGTTTCCTCAACGGCTATTTTCTGCACAGCACCATGCACTAGCGGGACATAAGGAAGTGCTGGATGAACAAATTCTACCGCTGAGATATTCTTGAAGTAGGCGTGCCATCGCTTCACTGCTTTCTTTCGGTCCATCAGGAGTTCACCATTTTAGTCGTTGACGCCAAAAAAACTTTTCGTTGTCCTTGGAGTGATGATGACGCACTTTGGCAGGACAATAACCATACCGTTCACCATCGCGCGTCTCGAGTTCCTAGCCGAGATCAGCAAATTGCGCAGCTTCTGCGGAAGCAGCGGACTTCTTTGCCGCATTCTTAGCAGCCTGATAACTCCGCCAGTTGTGGATTGTCTTTTCACCGAAAAATATGTGTATAGCCTCTTCTTCTCGCGCACTCTTCTCTGACATCGTCCCTCTATAGCCACGCTTGCTTCTCAGTCCTCCGTCGCCCAGGTTTTGTCATGCCGAGGCTGGAACGAGCAGAAAGGATCATTGCCTCCAGCACCTTTCCATCAGTCGCGACCGACCGCCGGTAACCGAATGGTGGATATCGTGGCCGCCTCCTTCTCCTTCAATTGCCACCACTTGATTCTTGCCAGTCCACATCGATGTTGCGTCGTGACCGCCCTTACGGCACGGTCTTCGCTTCTGTAAAAAGACCTCAATCGCGTTGCGTGACGAGGATAAGGTCGATTTGCGTTCTTGCAGTACCGCTGTAGAAAGTGATGAGGTGGGAAACATGTTTTCGGAAATTTGTATTCACGATAGTGGGATCGTGTAAGTTTGCGTACCCAAGAATTCGTTCGTCATCGGTGTTACGTGACCCATATACGATTCCACCGTAGCAGTTGCGTCATTCGCAGCGTCAACGTGACCACTGGGGTTACCTGCGATAACCGCAGCCTCTTATGACGGTACATCTGCGATATTTTCATCCAACAAGGTCCAGAACTCGTCTATGGCTTGCTCAGAGCAGTCTGTGAAGCATAAGAGAAGTGGTATCGGTGGCGACAGCAACCTTCATTTGGCGGTTGTTTAAGCAATCAACGCTTACGATCGAGTCACGGAATCGGTCAACAACTATTCCGACACCTTGCGTTGTACTAGGACCACCACAAAGAACGGCTTTGAAGCCACGACCCATATTCCTCGATCTGCAGCAGAACCACCTCGTTCCCTACACGGCACAGGAATCAATCCGTCGACGCTCTAAAGCTTCTGCTGATTCGTACGAGCGGCCCGTTAACGTGCCAACGTTTAACGTAGCAACGGAAGTCTTCCGTACGTTGCGGGACTTTTGGACTAGCTTAGTTGCCCCCCCCCCGGTGTCGCCCTTGCATCGGAGACCCTCGCACAAATGTGACGTGGCTATTCGTAGGTCGGTCTGTCACTGGGGCCTGCCGCCTGCATTCGGATGTCCGTGATCAGCTCAGCCCACATAAAGCAACAATCCAGGAACGAATTCGCGGGTAAGGACCATCTATAATGACGTTGCAGGTGAGAAGTTGGTCAATTGAGAAAGAAAAAGTAGAAAAAAAAACGTCGGGCAGAGCTTAAACAGGGACTCCCCCACCTGACATCGCCGATGGGGTCGACGTGTGTTGGACGAGTTGTCCGAACCTGCCCGCAGTACATGCGATACAATTGCATTGGTGGCAAATAGCCATGCATTCTTGCAAATACATGGCTATTTGCCAGCAATCGTAACTGAAGCGCGTCAGTTGCGTTCTTATAGAATCGACCTCATACAGCGCGGCGGTCCCGCAACGACCGCTAGTCGAGCACGCGCTCTGCACAGCGTATGTTGAGCGATCCGCCTTGGTATGAGTGATCCGCCCCCTCCAAGAGGACTTCGACCCCTTCCAGCGCATTTTAGAGGTAGGTTTTGAACTTAAAGACATTTCCTATAAACTTTATTGGGCTGAGGCATGCTTTGACGGCCTAATGACCAAGTAGTTGAAACCCTGCCTGGACTGTTGCTATAAGTGAGCAGTTCCCAGTGGCACCAATTGGAGGAACAGACCCCACCACCAAATCAGCCAACCTAATATTTTGCCAAAATCAACATCAATTCCCAATAATTCTATTAGTTGCTGAGTACACTGTTCTCTGGATACGATAATTTATACAATGTTCTGGGACATGAAAAACGCGAAATAAATCGAACGAGAGGAGCCTAATTCGCATGGGGAATGTGCGCGCTTGCGCGTCACACTGTCGCTAATGCGCATAAAAAAAGGTTGATGAAGTCAGAATTGAAGAGCTTGGAAAACTATTCCAATCGATCGAAATGACCGCAAAACTTACGAGTAGTCCGCCATGTTTGACTTCATCTCTTCACCGCTAATATTCTTCTGTTCGTCGATGATCAAACGACGTCTTCGACGTCTACGCTCCTGTGGACGCTCAAGCGCACCGGCTTCAAGTGGTTCCAATGTAAAGCTTTCTTGTGTTTCTGGCACACCACCTGTTGAAAAGTTGGTTACAGTACGGCTCACACGAGAAGCAGTCAACGCTTACCCAAATTATTTGCAGCAGCACCAAGCTGTAACTCATCAGCGGTTTCCAAACCTGCAATACGTTCAACAGTATTGAGTAGGAGAAATAAGGAAGAGTCGGACCTTGTTTATGAATGCGATCCAAGTATCAAAAATTTCATAACAAAAAAGTGAGATCTGTAATTTTGGAAGCGACGGATAAATTAGTGCAGATTTAACGTGAGCTCCTCCCCGATCACCCGTATAAAATGTAAGACCGTGTGAAGCAAAGACTACGCATGTGATCCACCGTTATACCAAACCCTTGAGTACCAGTAGTCGTAATTATATACTCAGCATCACTGAACTAATAGTTTCACCTTAGAGACCCGTCAGACTCGACGACTGTGCAAGCGACGGACAAGCGAAGGGCGATTGGCCACGCCCACAACCGATGTCGGCTGGCAGGGACGAGGAGGGTTCACGCTTCATTATTTTCGCAGTGTTTCCGTTTCATTCTGTTTTTCTTTTGTTTACAATTGTAATGAACAGTGAAAGAAACGTTTGCTGAATTGTTCCTCGTTTGTCGCGTTGAGAAATCGTGGTTGTGGAAGGGTTTATGTCTTTAGCAATGCTGTTTCGTTTTAGAGTGAGCGTTTCTCTGACGTTGTTGGATGTGCATACTCTAAATATCTAGTAAGAAAAAAAAACGTGATAAGGAGAATGGGCAAAACTCGAAAAAACAGAACGAAACGGAAACCCTGCGAAAATAATGAAGCGTGCAGCCTCTTCCCCCTGCCAACTGATATCGATTGCGGGCGGGACCAATCGCTCGTCGCTTGTGCACATTGCAAGAGCGATTGCAATCGCTTGCCAATCGCGCGACGGACGACCGACTGGCAAGTGACGGGCGATCGCGACCGCCGTCGCTTGTCCGTCGCTTGCACAACCGCCGAATCTGACGGGTCTCTTACGACGAAGAAAGTGATAACCTCGAAGGCAGTTCTCCAATAGCAGTTTGAAGCTGAGGCGCAGCAAAAAAAGGAAATCGGTTTGACGATTTCATATTTTTATCGAGACTATATCAATCAGAAAGGAGTACTTCTAATGGCCATGGTCTGCGCGCACACTTTACACTGATTGCTACGTAAAGCTTATTTCCTTGAAAGAGCTTCGCTTAGATGTGGCTTCTTATTTTCGAAAAAGTGATACTGGTTTGATTAGCAGTTAGCAGTGTACTAATCTAAAAAAAGATCTGAATCCGACCCGATATGAAGCTTTTGAATTCAAAAAGATTTTCGAATACTTGGAAATTCCTTACGCGTCCATCGAAAAGATTTACACTTGGTTTGGTAACATTAGAAAAAAGTTTGTGATGGCAAATATCAGCAGTTGCGCATGGAGAACAAGTTCGGTAGCAGCATAGCCGTTTGTGCGGAAACGAATTATCTTTCGAAAATAAAAGAAAGGTGCGCTAGCATCCCGCAAAAACACGAGAAACCGCATTCCCATCTCAACAAGTTGACGAGTGTCTCTCATGTGACTGACTATGGTGACTGACTCTCTGTGGTTTATTAATGAAAATCTGTTTCAAATTAACTGTTTCGGAGCCTCGGGAGTTATATACGTCTTCCAAAAGCCGAAGCTACAGCTTCACTAAGTATATTTCCATGCAACCAAAGTTCACTTATCTAACCAAATTCACCATATTAATTGGGATGCAGCAAAAAATTGCTGAAAAAGACATAGGCAGAGGAGCAAATCTAGAAACTGCGTGCGAAAAATGAAGAAAACACAGCCATTGTTCACCTTCTGTAAAAGCAGAAGTGGAAAGGTAAGTAACACAGAAGAATGGAGTTCAAAGAAAACAGGTAGAGGTGGAGGAAAAGAGAAAGTATTTAGATGACAAAGGAACGGCTGAATCTGTTCCAGCGATTGTAACTACTTCGTAATTATAATGCACTGAGAAACTCGATAAGCAAATAGAGGCAGAAGCTTGGATATGATGAAAGCAACTATATTACATTGAAATCCAGTAAATAAAGCAGTGATAAAGCTCTAACTTACCTTCCATATCTTCTTCGCCGCCCATATCCATACCTCCAAAATCATCGTCGGCAAAAATGCTGACACCCGGAGCTTTAGCTCCCTCCAAGCTTGGAGTTGCTCCACGAATATCTCGACTAGGTTTTAAAACATGGAGCAGTAGGAATAAAAATGGTTAAAAAAAAACAAAGCTTACAGGGCCAATCGATCTCCGGATATGAAGCTGCTCACATCTCGCTGCACTTCAACTCCACTGAAACATAGCACTCATAAGAAATCAAAGAAGAATTACGTTAACCACAGAAGAGTTAACAAGATTGGCCAAAATCGCACCTGACTTCAGCTGCAGGAGCCAGAGGTGGAAATTCACCGAAATCATCCTCAATCCCGAAGGTTACTGGCCCAAAAGCCGTATCTCCAAACTCATCGCTCTGAAACGTTTCATGATGAGAAGAACGTACCGGAAGTCCAAATAAGGAGTAGTTCAAAAAGCCGCACATTCTGTGCACAACAAACACCAATAGACTGCAAAAAGCTATGCTGACAGGAACTGTTACTGAGTGAGGAAAAATGTTGAGCATCAAAATCAATTTTGTAAGAGGGGAGATAGGCTCTTTCAGTTGGGTTTTGGGTGACTTCTTGAAGCGCCACCAAAAATAAACACAGGCCGAACACCAGGAGGGGCCGTAAGGTATGCTTCCCCGAATGGTTGCGGGGACGAAAGTCCATTTAAATTTTTTGTTTTTCTTTTTCTGGATTTTATATCCTACTAACTATAAGCGCTTGGGGGTTGTCTGTTGTCTGCAGTGTCGTGGCACGAATTCCGCGGTATCAAAGAGAAACAACAACCTACAGGGTCAGCTAAAAGTTTTGGGGATGGGTATGATCATATCCTAGGAAGTAAAAAACAAATAGTGCCAAGCGGAGCCCGACCCACAGGGGACGTTTAGAGTGCAGGTTTGATTTTTTTCAAAAATTAAAGTCACTAAAGACGCGGCGAGGGAGCGGTGAGACAAAAGTGGGCATAGGTTGGCGTTGGTAAAGCCATATCGAAAATGAGGAGCCACCTCGGTGGCGGGCGTTCTCCAGGAACGGATGGAGTGCTCTGTGGGAAATTATTCTATAACTCGGGTGTAAAGAGGGAGCCTTACAGACTAGGGAGCGCAATAGTGCAGTGAAGCAGGTGACTAAGGTTTTTCACAGCGTTGAATGATGTACTGAGGGAAGGCCGCCACAATGTAGGCGGAGGGTGTCGTTTGTGGATGGGTACAGCCATTTTCTACAAGGCTCATAATCGGTCCGATAGCATGATTAGAGACCGGGAAAACAAAGGATAGATGGTCAGTTGGAGGGGAGGGAAGGCTAAATTCGAGGAAAAGATGCAGAATGGCGTGGATTACATCAATGTTGGGAGGAGTTTGCAATTAGGCTTCATAAGTCGGTTCATAAGTGAGTGCGGGAATCGCGAGAAAAGGGTTATGGGGACGGTGGATAAAGTAGCACGGCGAATAACAAACAAAAGAATTGGTGAGGGTTGGCAGAGAGGAAAGGAGAGGTCAACTGTTGTTGCGGGCGGAGCATAACAAAGTGGGCGGGGTTTGCACATGATGACTTCATAACTTCGTTCCAATAAAGTTCAGAGATGGGAAATAGTTAGAAAGTAAGGTTGGGGAAGAGACGATAGTACCGAGCTTGATATCAGGTTGGGCGCGAGCCCAGGCGAACAGTGGGCGGGGTTTGCCACAAGAGATTAGCGCGTAGCCCCATTTTCGGTCCCTATACAAACCTATAATTCTTGCATTTCCGAGACGATGTAGAGATCTGAAAAATGCGCCAGAGGTAAAAAGTAGGGAGAGGATTGAATCAGGAAGATGGGCGTGAGCACGACCCGGATGTGGGCAGGATGTTTTGCCAGCCCTGCAATACAGCTCGGTATCCGTAGAATGTTCATCCGCCCCCGATTCCTTTTTTTTTTCTTTCCGGTGCGCGTTTTGGTTTTTCTCATTCGTCGCAGGCGACCGAGGGAAAAATTGTAGCATAAGTAGTTGAGGCGGTATGGGTAAGTAGGGGTAGTTAGATTGCGCATTGTTGAGGCTAAGCAATTAGCACAAAGTGGGTGCTGGGTGCGGCCCTCAGAAATTAAGGTGACTATTATACGCCTATTTACAAGACTCATAAGTTCGGTTCCCGAGATGAACTTAGAGAGTTAGACAAAAAAATACCCGGAGGTGAAAAGTTTAGGAGTGGAGTTGAATGGCTGAACGACCTCGGCGTGGCGCCACCCTGGAGGTGTAGCGAGAGTTGGCCACCGGCCTCATTAACTCCCGGGTACTTGAAGTTCCGAGCGGCCGGGGAAAATGTTGCAAAAGTATGAGGGTATGAGTAGGGTTGACGTAGCCATTGTTGGCTAAGCATGCATCATAAGTCGGGCGGAGTCTGACTCGAAATTCGAGACTGACTTATAAAACGCAATTTACAATAATATAAATGTCGGCTCCGACGATGACTTAGAGATGAAAAAAATACTCCGGAGGTGAAAGTAGGAGTGGAGCAGTTGATACGTGAACGTGGGACGTGGCACACCGGATGTGGGCGGGAGTTTGCCACGCCTTCATAAACTCGGTTCTTGGAAGTTCCGGCGACGGTGGAAAAATGTGCAAAAGTATTGAGGGTATGGGGTAGGGTTGACTGCCATTGTTGGGCTAAGCATGCATCAAAGTGGGGCAGGTCTGCTCAGTAAAGGTTGCGTGAACCTATAATAACGCCATTTACCAAGACTTCATAATTCGGCTCGAGATGATATAGAGGACCTGAAAAAAAGCACCAGAGGTGAAGTAGGAGTAGAGAACTTTGAATTTGAAAAGCTGGCGTGCACAACCGAGATTGGCGGGAGTTTTGCGGGCAGTAAGGTAAGATGTACCGAGCAGAAAGCTAAATCAAGGACAAGAAATACTGATGAGCCGCGAGGTTTACCGACTTGGAGCCAGTTCCCTTGCACAGAATGCAGTGCGCAGCCAATGGTTTATTGATTACGTGTTATACTGTTGTTGTCTCTTTATTTTCAATGCATGCTTACTTTAAGCTACACACATATATTAGATGTAGGCCCTTCATCAGGACAATCCCAGTTGGGACTACAGAGGAAATCTGAAGGAACTTTCGCCCCTAACTCTTCGGGGAAGCATACCTTACGGCCCCAGATGTGGCTGACGGTTCACTCTTCCTGCCTGTTCCCACTAACGTCACTTTATGATAGAAAGTTAACTGGACACAGCACATTGCTGAATTATGGTAACGCATCACCCCGATTGCATGAGTACTAGGGACTTAATCTGGACTATTAACCCATAGAAACACAATATTTTTGAAATCTGCCACCTTATGGTAAGCTTTTGCGCTTATACAGATAATAATCTTTAATCTTTCCTCGTCGTATTTTCCTTAACTGGCGAGAAGTGCAGTGGCAAGTGCCTGCTGCTTACCTTGCGCGCGGTATGGGAATTAAGATTTAGATCGTGCGTCGTCCAGGCCAGCTATGATCTCTTTCTTTCCGCGGTAGATGTTGGACCATACTCGACTGGGAAGAAACTAGCCCTGTGGTAAGTGAAGCTTATTGCCTTTGCAAAAAGGGAACTAAGCGAATAGGAAATAGAAATGTTTCCTGCTTTGCTCCACGCCATGATGCCCCACGCCATGATGCCCCCATTCCAGATACACTTGAGTAGAATAGATGCAATGTTTTTAAACATGATTACAGCTCTTGCGAGCTGCCTTGTCCGTCGATTACTCAAAGATGTGAGACATAGGAAGAAGAGTTTTCCAAGGAACCTCCATTTTGCATACAAATACAAACACACTTACAGCAAATTCTGCACCGAACATATGTTGATCAGAAATGTGGTCCTCCTTCAGTGTGATATCGTCTATCCTGCTTTGGTTGATCTTAAACATTTTGCATGTTGAATGGTACATATTTGGGTCCCCTTGAGTAGCACTGAACGGCAGAAATAAGCCCATCCCTCAAGTACAAGAACAATACCTGCAGGTGGGTGGCGAACTCAGCTTCATTGAATTCCGGCAATGTAGAGTCAAAATCCGTGTAGACCTTAGTAAAAACCTTTATAGCATAGTACAATGAATACTGAGGAGATAACTCACTTCGGGAAGTGAAATGGCAGCGAAAGGCGCTTCCTTTCCATCTTCCAACATCTCAACCTGTCCAGGACGAAATGCCATTTTAATTTTGAGAAATGCTTCGTTGCAATCAGCTAGCAAGTATTTTGCCTTTCTGGAATATATTCGCACGATCCCAAGCAAAAGATGTCCAGTAGTTCGAAGAGCCATTTTGACCTATAACTAACGAATAACACCCTTTCAGCAAAGGAGATTTTAATCAATTTACCCTACCTTTGGTTGCAATATTTCCTCTACTGCATCTTGCACATTCGTTTCGTAGATTTGAGCTTTAGACAGCTTCTTTTCCCAATGCGCAGCCAACCAAATCTTTGCAAGTGGCCCTTTCTTCGACAGCACGAATTGAGCGTAGAACATGGTCTGAATTTCATGAAGTTCATGCTAGAGCGCCCTATCATCTGAGTTTCACACGAGACCATAGATAAAAGAGAGAACAAAAAAAGCTTGCACAAGGACGGCAAGTCCCAAACTTCACGAAGCTCGCGTCGAATTCAAAACCGCCGCCAGACGCTGGCACTTTGCCAGCACCGTAATCTGAAGCCGTCGGATGAGGAGTCATTTGACGCCTAGTACACAGCTGACAATCAACTTTACGGCTGCTACTCCCTGCTTCACAATATTTCGAGATTTTTTTGAGTTTGTCGTTTATTTTGTACTTTCCACGGAGAGGGAAGACAATTATCAGGAAAAACATGTCTTTGTCCTCATTATGTTTGGCATGTCAATTCTAGAAGGCTAGACGTTGTTGTACAACCCAGCGTAATTTCTCTTGTACAGGTTCCTTGAAAGCGATATAATGCGGGGCACAACATGTTTATCAATCTGAAGACCATATGCGAATCTTTCCTGCGACCCTTTTCTTGATTCTGATTTCGTCATTCCATAGGCAGTGAGTGGCTGAGGTACACTGGCTAATTTAGAGATGACAAAAGCGGGAAGAACGCTTCAGTCGAAGCCTTCGCTCTGCTTAGAAGTCAGCAACCAGCTCGCTTGTATATACATTTGCTGGTTGTTCTCCGGTCGATTAATCATCGTATCCCCGGCGTGTTAATTCTCTTTTGGTCTGAAAATCGTGAGGGAGTGGTACGCATCTCTGTGTGATGAATGTGGTGAACGAGCTTTGGTGCTACGGTTTCTTTTGCGACAATTATTATGAGGCACCCAGTCTTCAATTCCCATGTTTTGTTTAGAAAAAGTTGCTAGTCTCGTAGCCTTCCCCTTTCGTGAGAGCGCATGAAGACAAGCAGACGTCAGTGCGATCAATACGCTGGCGGCGTGTTCGAGCTGGCGCTGTTCGGTCCTCTGCATGTTTTTGCTATTGAAAGCTCTTTCTTGGTCCATACTTTGCATGCCAAACACGTTCACTAATTCAACTATTTACTGCTGTTCAGAGGAGTCCACTTAGCATTACGTGCATATGTGTGTGGTAGTTTGCCTCTTATTGTTAGTTCGTTGATCCTTCCACTGGTCTCTTGTGGGCTGTTTGGGTTACGTAATCGCTCTAAGGCTGTGAAATTCACTCTGAAAAAAATGCTGGAGGAGAAACGCTAGTGAAAACTCGCAGCCTTCACTATACGCTTTTTAATCGTCCTTATTAGTTCTTGTGTAATCACCCCAACTCATAGAGCGAAAGGAAGATTGTCATCCGTTGTATTGCGGTGGAAGGTAGCAGTACTGACGTTGGGTAGTGCTAGGTTAGAAAATATTTGATCGCGTCGCTCCATCGCTTGTCCGTCGCTGAGTGTGACAGCGGTCTTACTGCAAGAATAAATTATTGCAAACATAAATAAGCTGCTTTGCCGAAATTGGAAGTTTCACAAATAGGCGTGTTGTATTGAGTGTATACAGTAGATGTGAGTGCGTGTTTGTTTGGATGTTTCTTTTTGCATGATCCTCTCATTCGACGTCACATATGTCATGATACTTTCTTTGTGTCTATTTCCACCTTAGTTTCTCTTTTTTTTCTGCAGGATCTCTTCTTTCTTTAACGGAACAGATGGACTTAACACCTATGCTAATCAAAGAACCTTCATTCGCTTGTACATATTCAGGTTTTGTAATCCAATAAGATAATTTGAAATGCAAATTTCAGGTTGTTTTTCTACACAGATGATCTGGGCAATATTTTTTCTGTTTATGTTTCTTCTCATCGTCAGAACACGAAGGTGAGATGTGTTCTTCATTGAATTAGAACCTACCCGTTGAAAAGTGTCAAAAATGTGAAACAGGAAGTAAATAGTGCCCTTTTACAGCAGTAATACGAGCTGTACGTCTTAGTTGCTTTTACTGCTATCCTCTATTCTCTTATGCGCTGATTACATAAAGAGCGTTTTCCCACGCTTCGAGTTGGGCATATCTGATGGAGACAGGTTTTGTAGTGTGAGATGGTGTCAGAGTCCGCGATCCGTCGCAGGTTTCGCGCGGTTCCGAATTCGCGCAAATCCCAAAAATCGCAAGCGCCTCATTTGAACATTCGAAACACTGAATATGAAGCAAGTAGAATTGTGAACAGTCGCCATTCAACCGTTACCTTCAACCAGGAATGGCGGCGGGATTGGAGAGCACCATGCAGTATTGATCGGGCTTTTGTGATTTCTGTGAACCGTCGCGCGATTCGTGCAATGACGCGGAACCTGCGACAGATCGCGGCCTCTGACACCAGCCTAGGCTGTTATTACTAAAGGTGGCCCATTTGATAATGCTATTCGAAAACGGGTTGCTGGACATTGCAGAAGTTTTTAAAATATATGCTTGTGTAGCAGTGCTTCAGTAGAACCAGGGGCCGTATGCAGCAAGCTCCGGCCGGGGACGGGAACATGTCTTTGACGACCTTCGGGGCTTGCTGCATACGATCGTCGGGGATATTTCCCCAATAGAAACCCATCAGACCTCTTACCCTCAGCTCGGTGCGGCGTGATATGTGCATGGCTCGAAAGAGGGAGTCTCATCTATGGCCCAAATCGCCTACATCGTTTGATTCGGGCCTTTTTTCCCCCTTTTGTGATCAAAGTGTTCAGCAAAACGTTTATCTGTGCTCCTTCTCGCCTTTTTGATACTAATCCTTGTTTACCTTCGATTCCATCATGATTACAATTCCTGCTCAAAAGTTCTCCCACATTCATGTTTATTCGAGAGTTAGTTACGAAAAGCCAGCAACAAGATAGGCTTCCTCAGACATCCTTTCTCTTCTAAGGGTGTATTGCAAAAGTAGGTACTACATGGATATACAAGAATTTTTCTGTGCACTCGGTCTTCGATACATGGTAATCCTTCGGAAGGTTCAGTCTTTCTACCACAGCTCGTGGAGCGTTTTTAAACTTGAATCAAATTAGCAGCTCATGCGAACATAATGTCATGGATTAAAATATCGCTGGAGAACAGAGCACTCGAATAAATTAGGAATGGGTGTGTTTTTTGAGCATGTTGAGTGTGGTGCGCTAGGACGGAAAGTGATTTTTTTGCTCTCCCACCGCGAAGCTTTTCACGCCGCGGAAACCGCAAGTTCACCACTGGTCAGAAGTGGACATGGGGTTTCTGCAGTGAAAAAGTTCCGCGCTGCAAAAATTGGATAAGTCACTTCCATCCTAGCGAAATACACTCCTTGTACTGAGCACGTTTTTGTGCACTTAACGAGGTGAGGTGTTCAAGGGGACGTATTCCGCGAAATCCTAGGATTTGAGTTGTCGGTTCGCATTGCAATGTTACTATCTTAATCTCGAGTCACTGCTACCCAAGCTGAATTTGGCGAATGGCTGTCATAGGTTGACTAGGTTTTGTAACACGTTGACGACATTGCGCGTTTTGCGTTTTTGCACCGCGTGGGACCAGAGCGATTTGGCGAGCACCGGCGCTGCACACCAAATCCAAGGGTTTTGAGCTGTGAATCCGCAATACTTAAATTCGATGAAGTGTTTTCAATGATGTTCGATCTGTCTAACTTATCAGGAGTTGTAGTAATGGAAATTCGACCGAAATGACGTGTTAGGGGCCATGAAAAGACAAATACCACTTACTTTCCCTTCAACGGTTCCACTATTAATTTGATCGTGGTTGTATCACATATATTCTTATACGAAGGTTTATATTCGCTTCTATTATTCCTTTTTATCAACATGTTTACGTTAACGAAAAGAAAACGAGCAATGAGCTGAACAGTCACATCTGTAAGGTATGGAAAACCTCTGCCAAACTAAGGAATATTTGGCCTTTCTGTGAGCCATGTGGTTTTTAGTTTATTTATAGATGGCCTGTATAATGAGTACGAAGACCTTAGCAATAGGTCATGCAGGCGCAAGAAAAAGGGATGACTTGGTGTGACGCTTTACCGCGTCATTGTACCGCGTGGTGCGCAACGTGGTACGCGTTACTGCGTTACGCTGTCGTCATCGTGTTAAGGAATCGGTGAAGTTCTATTCTGAATGCTGGTAATATTATAACAGTTCGTGAATATTTTGATAGAGCTAACAAGTGGAGGTCTTCTCAATGTTTCAACATGTTTCAGTAAGCATGTCATTACAGGAAGTCGGACGTTGTTGCGTTTTTCCATCCCTACTGCAATGCAGGTGGAGGAGGAGAACGAGTACTATGGTGTGCAATCCGGACCATGCAGCAAAAGTTTGTTTTTTCCTTATGTTCCATTTTCTCGCATGAATAGTAGGTTCAGTTCCTTAGGAGCATGTTACTCTTCAGGGGCCGTAAGGTATGCTTCCCCGAAGGTTTGGGGGACGAAAATCCCTTTAAATTTTCTCCGTTTTCCCAACTGGGATTGTCCTGATAAAGGGCCTACATGTAATATATGTGTGTAGTTTAAAGTAAACACGCACTGAAAATGAAGAAACAGTATCGTTCAAAACAGAAAAATTTATAGAGATTTTCGTCCCCCTACCAGTCGGGGAAGCATACCTTACGGCCCCAGGAGGGATCCTTCAAAACGAAAGTGGTTAACAATTTGATGTCAGTTTGAGCAAGTATTTTTTATTGCTCTTTATTTCTTGCCTTTTGATAGTACCAGGCGGCTCCCCTGCTTTCTTCACGGTTTGTTGTGCGGACGAGTCGGTGGTGCCCACGAACTATGCGGGTACCTTTAAAAACGCTCCATCAGCCTAGTTCGCGGGCACTATCAATTCGGCCACGCTTTGCTGCGTGCCAAAGTATGAAGAAAGTGGGGGAGCCCTACCAGGCTGCCAATGTTCCATTTGTTTTGCATTACTGTTTTGGGTGCTGTTTCTCCCACCAATTCTCCAATCAGTGTATGGATTTTCTGTGCACCTGCTCGAGGCAAATGTTTTTTAGAGACTGCTTCCGAAGTCCAGGTGTCATTCTTATTATAATGTATAGATACTTTCCGTTCTCTTCTT